TGGGTCTATACGTTGTTATGACTTTTTAAACAATGTGATTGTGTGGATTATATTATGAAATAAACTTGGAGCCCTAATGCAAGACTATTAATACAATCCTAATAGAGTGAAGATGAAGGAAGCTAGCTAAATTAGGAGACAACAATTAGCTAATAATGCTTGTAAGAGTGTTATTAGAAATTAAAGATTCAGTGTACATGATACGTCAATAGGTCATATAGAGGTGGAATTTGTCACGAGAGATCAATGATTGAGTCTCATTAACGATATGTGAAAATAACCTCTCAACTGAGGGGACTCCTTGCGCACGGTGAACAAAAATATAACCTGATCAGTTGAGTCAACATGATTTATGTGGACGCCCGCGTTTCAACCTTTGTGTCACAAAAAAATTTATGGACCTAAAACCAAATCAGTCTCCATTGCATAACAAATTTCCATTAATTACGGATGACTTCTTTGCATTATATTGACTTGACTTATATCATGGAAATTAAACATACATATAGCGCAACTTCTAGTCAAGTTTACCAGACATTTAGCTTAATATATAATCACATGGTTACATTATATTGACTTGACTATCCATAAAAGCTATCTAAAAGCTATCTATTAGCCTTCTTGATTTGAACTGGTTAATAATAAGTAACATAGCTTAGATTCGTTTACTTTCTTGTAGACTTTTGTCAGCTAAAATTACAAAACATGCTTTACTTAAAGTACACATTCGAATAATAGTTGTGAACTTTTCTATGAATCGGACCAAATAGTTTACAACCAATATAATATTCTAACCATATTTTTCATCAATTCCATCAATTAACTAATCAACTTGGAGGGTGTGATTGAGTGGAAGGGACTCATCCATTCTTAACCAAAAATTAAAGGTTCGATCCTTGACTTTGAGAATGATGAAGCAACTTTAACTCTACAATTCTCATTGTGTCTGACGGTAAAAACCTTGGGTATAATCAATTCACCAATTCTACTCATGACTTCATTTAAATTTGTCTATGCTTGACTTGGAGTCACTTGTCATAACTTTTTTAAACAGTATAAGTGGGTAGATTATGAAATTAATTACCTTAAGAGTCAATTTAGACAAGTTGTTCCATGAATTAATTTCTACAAAAGACATTCTCCCTCCCTTACCCAAAGTAGACGTACGTTTACAAGTATGTCCAAATTATACTAGACTTTTATATAACACTATATTCTATGAACAATAGTACTACACTCAATTTGATGAGAAGTTGAGAACCGAGGGACTTGGAATGAATTTTAAATTTTAAAAATAAATAATTTTATAAGTTAGGTTTAACTTTGCTATACATATGTTTCCCCACCTTTGCCCAAATTACAAGCTACGTTTACAAGTATCTTCAAATTATATCATCATTATTTCCATCTCATTTTACGATCTCAATTTTAATAGCTAAGATTAACTCAACCTTTTTCACAATTGAATTTTATATTAATTAGGAGTTAATTTCATTTTTTTGTCATAAATTTATAAGTGACAGTCCATTTTAGTCATTTTTTTATTTAGAATATTCACTTTTAGTCCTAGTATTATTGTGACATGACTATTTTTTGTTCTCTATCAACAAAACAGTTTAAATGTTGTTAAATATAAGAACATTTCGGTCTTCAATTTTGGATTTTTTTCAAAAAAATAACATTAAAAAATAGGGGGTCAACCTACTTTGTATAAAAAGATCGAAATGTTATTGTTGTATTTAACGGCATTTCAATGTTGTTGTTGACTGGGGATAAAAAATGGTTATATCACAATAATACTACGACCAAATAAGGATGTTATGATAAAAAAATGACTAAAAGTAGACTGTCACCTAAAAATCTTGGACCAAAAAATGGAATTAGCTCATTATTTAATTTACGGGGCGTTTGGTTAGAGCCTTAGAGGGAATTGCAATTTCATTCCCACCTAATTCCTACATATATAATCCGAAGGCAAACAAATTCTTTTATTTGGTTGGAGGGATTTGCAATTCCTCGAAATTGAAATTTCCTTATTTTCATGAAAGTAGTATCCTAGCCCCCATTGATATTTTAATTTCATGGATTTTAGGAAGGAAAAAAAAAAAAAAAAAACTTTGACACAAAATTACCCCCTTTTTTCAAAACATAAAATTGATGTTTGTCCTCTCTTTTTCTATTATAGCGTGTCTTCTTCTTCTATTATCAACACAGAACGTCAATCAGTATGTCAACCTCATCAATCAAATATGTTTTCTCAAAACTCTTTTTATCTATTTTATTGCTTTCAATTTGTTATGCAATTCTAAGATTTATTTATACCATGTTACATAAATTTTCAAAAGTAAAATTTAATTTGATCATTTAGGATTTATAATAATGATGATGATTATTATTTTTTATAATTCTTTATCAATTATCGTTACAATATAATATTTTTTTTTAAAATGTTACTGGCTCTATTACATTGTAATATGTGTTCATATACTTTCTCAATCTACTGAAACACAAAGAACCAATAACGCCTTCACTGATGCTCGAACTCACAACCTTCCAAATGGAAGTTCAACCCGGATACCATTAGACCACATAGTTTGGGTCAATATAATATTTATTTAGTACATACTTTTAGAAAATAATTGTGAATTTTCTTCGGTTACTAAAAAAATTACTTATAGTATGGAGTGCATGTTACGTCTCCTAATATTACTTTAGTCACAATGCAATGGACCAATGTCATGTGATTATATGAGATATGATATTATTTGCATTGACTCCACTTTTGTTGTGTAATCTATTATTTTCCTAGAAGCTTCTATGAAATTTCTCATAGTTTGCTAAACAATATTGTCCTTGCTTGGCAATTTTCTGTTTGTGTTAAATTGTTACCGAATTATGTTATCGGTTAACAATTGATTGTGTTAGCTATTAACCAATTGGCAGTATTAGATGCGGGTAAATTTTCCTATGAAATTGTTTCACGAATCTTCAATGGTAAGACAGATTGAATTTTTGATAAGTATTATATTTTCTCACATAAGTATTATATTTCAATTTAAAAGTACTAAATTATTTTTCATCAAAAGTATAAAACTTTTCATCATAACTATTACATTTTCTCTCATACTTAAGTAACAATAAAAAAATGTATCCATTAGTAGTACACTGCTGGAAATTATAGAATTTTCGACCACCTGAAAGTAATCTTATATAATGTCGAAAGCAAAAAGTGGTCGGAAATAGCAACAAAGTTTTTTTCGGATACCAAAAGTGGTCGGAACAAGACTTTTGACTTATTTAAGATCATTTTCAGGTGGTCGGAAATTTCATAATTTTCAGCAGTGGTATTACATTTTTTTTTCATAAGTAACTATTCAACTCTAAATATTACATTTTTTTTCTTCAAAACTATAACACTATTCATTATAAGTAACAAGCAATTGTTTTAAAAAAATAAATTATTCTTGATTATTATTACATTTTCTAGCATAAGTATTGCATTTCCATTATCACTCGACACGCCTCAAAGACAGTCTCACAAGAGACTCACTATTAAGTGCTAATTAATTTTAGATGATAACATATAAAATGACATTTAAAAACATGAATGTATTTTATAACAATAATTTATTAATTATTATTAATAATTATATATAAATAAAAATATCTTAATAAAAATATTATTTTGACTATTTCTCATAAGCAAGCACATTAAAATTTAAAATAAAATAAAAATCTGTGGGGTAAAATAAAAAGTTCATAAAAGGTTATAATAATAAATAGATATGACACCAAAAAAAAAAAAAAGATATGACACAAAAAAAAAAAAAACTAAAAAAAATTAGATATGATACAATTTTTTTTCTTATTTAAAAAATAATGATTTTTAATTGATCAAACTCACCATAAAATCAGGTTAATATAATAATAAAAAAAAGGTGTGAATTTAAAGTGATTATCAATTAATAAAGTCCTAAACTCTTAGAAATATTGTAAATGAGTTACAAGAGGTTTAAATGAATAAAAGAGTGAATCAGTAGTACTCAAAAAAATGAATAAAAGAGCGAACTTGGCCCAAGTGTGCCAATTTATAAGCCTAATCAATTGATTGATCAACTATTACGGCAATTTATATCCTACACCACAGCGCGCGTTGCACTATGCGCCCAGATGCAAAACGACGTCGTTTTAATTTTTTTTTTTTTTTTTTTTTTTTTTGAAATTTCCCGCCCCAGTGAATGACAGTAGTTTTTTCTTAAAAAAAAAAAAAACCCGCTGTTCAAGAATGTACATAATGTTATACTAGAATACACATAATTGTATACATGAATGTACATAATTGTATAACAAAATATACATACTCTTTTTAAAAGATAATACACATAATCTAACATAATACATAATAAACATAAACTTTTAACATAATACACATCAACTATTAACATAATACACACAAATTTTCTGATTCGGATGTACATAATTGTATAAAAAGAATGTACATAATTGTATAAAAAATGTACATAACTGTATGAACCAATACACATAACTGTATGAACAAATACACATAATCCCAGCAACTTCCTACAACGCCTCCCAAAACGACCCCAAAATGATGTTGTTTTGGGAGGCGCGCGGCGCACAGTGCTATGTGCGCCGTGGTGTAGGGTATAACGATTGAACTATTACAGACTGATTTTGAACAATAAGTGCTAATGACGGACTAAACAGTTGACCAGATGAAGAAGTCAAGGAAAAGAAGCAAAGAGCTTGATGATTGTGTTTACAACCAATAGGGGGAGAGAAGTTAGCTTGATGCATGCTACAAGACACAGATTTGTGGCTTTAATTTGTGCCTCTGTAGTCTGTACCCATCATCTTTGTGCAATTGCTCCAAAGTGCAAAGTGATAATGGTAAAGCCAATGTACCCCTGCCACTTCTAATTCATAACTTCATCCCAGTACCCCTGCCATAGCCAAATTAAAGTACAATGGTAAAAGCCACTGTACATTAAATCACTTAGAGATGTTTATTCAAATTATTTTTAAATGAATGAATAGGAAGGCAATATTGTTGTTACCTGGAGTGAGTATTTCAACTGCAGCAAATGTTGTAAAGGCTTCAAAGATTTTAAGCTTATTGCATGCCAATATCCAAACCAAGCAAACAACTCCGATCAGTGACTTTACCAATTCTTCAAACTTTTTATAATTGTAAAAAGCAACACCACACTCTAATTTGAAATTTTATTAAGTAAAAAACAAACTACAAGCATAATTATAATAGTGGAAGAAGGAAGATATGTGAAAGGTCTAAAATACCCTTATTATTTTAACTGTTAAAATTTTCCGGCGAAATTTGGCCGGCAATTTGACTGGAGTGATCAAAATTGATAAAAATTTCATAGTCAAGGTACTAAATTGACACTTTTAAAAGTCAGATGCTGAAATTAACAAAGCCCCTATAGTCATATGACCAAAATTGAAATTTTCTCGTTATAATAATAAATAGATATGACACCCAAAAAAAAAAAAAAACTAAAAAAAAAAAGATATGTCACAAATTTTTTTCTTATTTCAAAAATATGATAATTTTTAATTGATCAAACCACCATAAAATCATATTAATATCAGGAAATGGGTGGGAAAGTGATAATCAATTAATAAAGCTTAAAACCTTTGAAATATTGTAAATGAGTTACAAAAGTTTAATGAATAAAAGAGCGATGGCCAAAGTGTGCCAATTTACAAGCCCAATCAATTGATTGGTGAACTATTACAGACAGACTGACTGAAAAATAAGTGCCAATGACGGACTAAAAAGTTGACGAGATGTAGAAGTGAAGTAAAAGAAGCAAAGAGCTTGATGATTGTTTTTACTGCCAATAGGGGGAGAGAAGTTAGCAGCCTTGATGCTACACACACAGATTTGTGGCTTTGTGCCTCTGTACCCATCATCTTTGTGCAATTGCTCCAAAGTGACAATGGAAAGCCAAGGTACCCCTACCCCCTTCTCATTCATAGCATCATCCAAGTAATCCTGCAACAACCAAAGTACAATATAATGGTAAAGCCACTGTACATCAGATTACATAGAGATGTTTATTCAAATTATTTTAAATGAATGAATAGGCCGGAAGGGCAATATTGTTGTTACCTGGAGTGAGTATTTCAACAGCACCAACTTTAAAGGCTTCACTGATTTTAAGCTTATTGCCAATATCCAACCCAAGCAAACAACTCCGTGACTTAACCAATTCTTCAAACTTTTTATAATTGTAAAAGCAACACCACACTATAATTTGAAATTTTATTAAGTAAAAAACAAACTAAAAGTATAATCGTAATAACAGTACACCTTAGAAATTAAAATATTGTAAAAGAACAAAAAAACCGATATATAAAAGAGAATCCAAACTAGCATGTAGCAATAAAACAAACACAACTCACATTATTCATGATACAGAGAAAGTGAAATCTTCCTTCCTTTGTAAAACTTCAATGCCTTCGACCATATCTTCTTGGCCTTGAGACGCTCCTGCTTTTGTTGCCTCCATAGAAATTAACAAACCATTCTGGCTTTCCAATTCGAGACATGAGATTTTCAATTAAGATTCCAAATACTAGCCCACAACCAAACCCAATCACTACAGCTTTCCAAGTAAATCCACTCAAGAAATCTGACTTTTCTTCTTGCTCAACATATTGGCGGGGCTCAAGTGATCTACCGTTGCCATTGCATCCCTTTGACAATGGAAATCCACATAAGTTGAGGTTTCCTCCATATGAGTCATTTTCAAAAGTATTAAATTGTTTGCCAGTAGGAATGGGTCCAACCAAATGGTTTTGTGATAAGTTTAAGACCTCAAGAAATGTCAAGTTTGTGAGTTGCTCTGGAATTTTCCCAGTCAGTTGGTTCCAAGAGATGTCCAAAGATTCAAGCAACCTAATATCTCCTAATTGGTGTGGAATGCTTCCATTGAAGCAGTTGTGTGATAAGTTGAGAAGCCGTAATGAATTCAAATTTCCAATAAACATGGAAATCTCCCCTTCAATTTGATTGCTTGATAAATCAATTGTAGTTAAAATGGTCAATACTCTTTCGAGTTGAATATCTTGACCTTTAATAACTAAATTGATTGAAATGTTATAAGATGCACCCGTTGTTGTCTCCAAATAACTGGGTACTTTTTCGCTTTCATCCACATTGATCATAGCTTTGAAGTAATTGAAAAAAATATTTTGGAAGGATACCACTAAAGCCATTACAGGATAGATCAAGGATCCGTAGCTTGGGATACCAAAGCATGAAATCTGGCAAGGTTATGGGTCCATATAGTTTATTTGAACTCAATATTAGAACCTGTAAGTTTTGAAGATATCCAAGCCACTTGGGAAAAGTATCATTTAGCTTATTATTCCCAAAATCAAGGACCTCTAGTCGTGCGCAATTGACCAAAGATCTTGGAATTGATCCTCGAAGTTGATTCCCATTCAAAGCTATAATTGCTAAAATATTGTTCTTTGCAAACATGGTTGGAGAAATGGCATTGAAGTTGTTCATTGCCAAGTCCAACACAGAAAGTTCATAAAGTTCACCCAAGCAATCTGGAATTGTGCCATTGAACTTGTTGCATCTTAAGTTCAAAAATTGAAGCTGGCTCGAGTTGCAGATATTGACGGTTAAAGGTCCTTGGAGCTGATTGGAATGAAGATCTAGATAACCTAAAAGTGGGATCCACAATTGGTTAATGCCACCTATAAGATGGTTTTGGGAAAGATCCAAAGAGTACATATTTCTCCAATACACAGATGCAAACCAATTTGGAATTTGTCCTTCCAATTTATTGTTTGACAGATCTAGGCTCTCTAGGGATGTTAAGTTTCTTATGAAGTCCGGAAACTTTCTAATCTCACAAGAGGATAACCGTAAGTCTCTTATTGGAAGATCACTTATATTTACTTCAGGCATCCTCCAATCATTACTCCATGAAAAAAGATTAAAAGAAAGATCAAGCTCTTCAAGTTTAAAAAATGTAGGAGGGATTTGTCCATCTAGCCGATTATGAGACAAATTAGCAAAGCTTAAGGATTTGCTTGAAATCTCGGGAAGTTGCCCCATGAATTGATTTTGGCTAAGGTCCAAATGGGTTAAGAAAGGACTGCTAAAAATCCAGGGAGGTATTTTTCCAATGAGTGCATTCCTAGACAAGGATAGTGTCTGGAGAGTTTGGAATCCACTCGCAACAGATGGGAGGGAGCCAATGAGTGAATATCCTTCTAAATTCAAATCTTCAAGTAGAGACAAGTTTACAATTGAAGAAGGAAAACACCCAGTGAAATTGTTCCCATATAGACCTAAAACTGTAACCTCTTGTAGGTTAGAAAAGGCATCTGGAATTTCTCCTTCAAAATGGTTGCTTGAAAGGTCTAATGTGGTTAGTTGGTTCAAATTTGAGATTGTGAATGGCACACTACCCTTGAATTCATTGGAATCTAAACTCAACTCTTTCAGGTGTGTTAGGTTGCCTATTGAATCATGAATAACACCAAAAAACCTACACTTAGAGAGTCTGAAATAGTTTAAGGACCTGAAATTGCCAATTGAATTTGACAACTCTCCAAAAATACCCGTTTCACTAAGATGTAAGATTTTCAGGGTATGATTGCTTCTCCAGCCAAACTTTGGCAATGAACTGACCAGATCTACATTCCCGTGTAGATCAAGTGATTTTAATTCAGATAACTGGGAAATGCTATCTGGAATGGGGCCAATTATATTGTTGTCTGAAAGATCTATATCTTGCAATGAAGCAGATATGTTTCCCGGTATGGTACTTGAAATACTATTTTCAGACAAAAAAAGTACCTCAAGCTTGGTGAAGTTTTGAAGAAATAGTAACCTCGAAACATTGCCATCAAAATTAAAAGAAAGATCAAGATAAACTAACTTGGACAAATGCGACATTTCAAATGGGATGCTTCCCGATAGACGAGAATATGAAAGGTCGAGGTAAGTCAAGTGAGTCAAACTACCAATCTCATTTGGGAGAGGGCTGAAGCCGAAATTATTCATGGCAAGATTGAGTTTCTGAAGATGTTGAAGTTGAAAAAGGGTGCTATTACGATGGATGGATCCTTTGAGCCCGTTGCAGTAAAGATCCAAACCAATGACATGACCAGTGGAAGTATCACAGGTAACACCTTCCCATTGGCAACAGTCAGAGCTCTCATCCCAAGATAACTTCTCTTCCATCCCATAACCTCCATGGCACAAGAATTGATCAGCTTCGTGTATCTCAAAGTGTTTTATGAATTGTAGTAGCAGAAGGGAATCACCTTGATCACATAGGTAGTTCTTCTTAGAAGAATTAGTAGAAGAGACACCGATACCAAATAACAAGGCCAAGTAGAGCAAAGAAAAGAGCAAATGGCTTCTTTTCATTTTTTTTTTTTTTTCTCTTTTCTGATTCTTAATTTGCAAGCTAGATTGAAATTCTGTTATAATAAACAAATAATAGAGGGCTTGCTTCTATTTATAATTAGTTTAGTTGAGTCCCAATAATGCAATGGTCCACTATTCCTCCATTAATGCATTGACTTGTCTTCTACTGTAGCGTACTCCATGGGCGCCATAAACGTGTCCTAAGTGTCGCTAAATCAGAGGTAGAGGTAAATCGTGAGTGTTTTAAAAAATTATTGAAGGAGGAGATAAATTATGAGCCGTTCAAGTATCTCTGTTCAAGAAGGATTAAAAGAGGTAAATCAAGAACCAATAACCTCTCAGTCGATCAGTCCTAGCATCAAACCCCACCCTACTCTAAAGTTGTGACTTTAGATCAAGTGATCTAACCTCACGGGACACGTACCGTTTCATATGCATCATTTCAATATGATCTTCTAAGTTATTTCATTATATTTTTCTTATTAATTAACCAAACCCACACAAACTCGAATTTTTTGAATTGATAGTTCGAATGAAAACAGTAAATGATAGCACAAAAGAGATGCTGAATTAATTTAAATTACACATAACTAACTGGTTCAAATGACGCTTCTGGTGGAAGTTTAACTTGTAATTTTGTGATCAACTTAATAATTATTTACTCATCAATTCCATGTGTATCGTTTTTTTTTTTTTTTTAAATAATATATGCTATAAAGCTTAGCTTTACAGACTAGGGTGGCATTTAGTTAGAGACTTTTGTACTATATTATGGTATTTGATACTACTTTTCCACTTTCAAAACTAAACCCTACTATAATATCATCTTATTTAATTGTAATTGATTCGTTATCGTCTCCATATCTTTGCAATTTAACTCACTTTCAATAATAATATAATTAAAAATGATAATTAATTAATTAATCAGAGGTCCACTTTGAGAATTTAATCGTAAAACAAATAAGATAATAGATTCCTTATGTCGGGAAGATAGTATTTGCATTGACTTGACTTCAGTTGCGTACTCCACAAGCACAGAAATTTATCTGTAATTTCATATATGATTTCCTTAGTCTCCATTCTGTAATTATAGCAGCAGCTATCCTTTGCATTAACTTGATTTCTATTGCGTACTACATGGGATATATGAAAAATGTATGATCATGTTTGGTAATATAGTTAGTTTATCAGTTAATTTTAATTTATTTGATCATTATTAGTTTTTTTTTTTTTTTTTTTTTTTTTATTTTATCATTATTAGTTATTTGATTTAGTTAAACAATATTTGGATTCTAGGAGTCATAGTCTTTGTGTAACTCTTTAGTTATTAATTAGTCAGTCTTATTTATCATTGTATGTATATTCATTATTGTTGAATTATTGAATACACTTCAGACTATTAACTCTCATTTGGTATCAGATAGCTCTAGGTTTCTCTTTCCTGATGACGTCTAATGTTGCGGCAGATAGTACGACCGACGGCCAACGCAAGCCACACCTGCCGCGATGTGGTACGACCGACGACCAAATACGTGACCTTCTCCGATAGGGAAGAGACCAGCATGGACAACAGGGACTGGTCCTGACGAAACCAAGCGGAAAACTATGGATTAGGAAGAGCTAGAGAGTCGTCGTCCTCATTAACAATTAATATAAGTGTTTGATTAGTTAGCTTTTTGTAACCGCTCATTGCTTCAAAATACTAAAATTCAAAAAGCTATTTTGAGTAGTTTTTTCGAACAAGCTAAGTATTTTTAAAAAGTCATTTTACATTTAATCATTCTATTAATTATTAACAACTAATTTAACAAATATCTTTATACAATCAGCTAATACTATTAACTATTCAAACTTACTAACTTAATTAGCTAACAGCTATCTATCAAACATCTCTTATATGTAATTTCATTTTCTTCGATAATTGTTTACTCATCAATTGCTCAAAAGACCCCAGGGTAACGGTCCCATGTCCCCATCAATATTCTATGAACTATACGTAGTACTATACTCAACTTGATGAGTTGTAGATTTTAAAGACATAATTTCATAAATTAGTTTCTACTATACGATGCATATGTTCCATCCTCCCTTGCCCAAAGTACAAGCTAAGTTTACAAGTACGTTCAAAATATACCATCATTTCCATCTCAATTTTAATAAAATAATGAAATGCCATATATAATGCTTAATTGAGAGTGACTTATATCAAATATAAATGAAAATTATATTATAAGTTGAGAAATAAAATTAAAGATTGTTGGAGTTGCAGATAATGGGAGTTAAAGGTGTTTAATTTGAAGTTGGTTAGAGTGAAGATGACTGAAGCTAAATTAGGAGACAACAGTTAGCTAGTAATGCTTATAAGAGTTTTATCAGAATTAAAGATTCAGTCCACATGGATACGTCAATTGGTCATAGAGGTAAAATTTGTCACAAATGATCAATGAATGAGTTTCGCGCCAACGATAGTGTAAGAATTGAATAACCTCTCAAATGAGGGGATTCTTTGTACACATCACACGATGAACAAAAATCTAACATGATCAGTTGAGTCAATAATTCCTGTGAAAACCCATGAAGGCGTTTCCACCTTTTTGTCACAAAAAATTTGAAGACCCAAAACCAAATCAGTCTCCATTGCAACACAAATTTCCATTAATTACGGATCACTTCGCTTATGCGTTATATTGACTTGACTTATATCATGCATAGAAATTAAACATACATATAGCACAATTTCTAATTAAGTTCGTCAGACAGTTAGTTTAAAGATTGATTATCCATAAGAGCTGTCTATTTATTCTATTAGCTCTCTTAGTTTGAACCGATTATAGTAATGGGTAACCATTGCTTATATGATTACTTTCTTGTGATCTTTTATCGACTAAAGTTGCAAAACAGGCTTTATTATTCAAATTACACATTCGAATAGTAGTTGTGGACTTTCTTAGGGACCAAATAATTTACCATCAATAGTATTCTAATCATATTTTTTTGTCAATTCCATCAATTAACTAATCCTACTCACGACTTCATTTAAATTTGTCTATGCTTGTGGACCATAATGCTTGACTTGGAGTCACTTGTCATAACTTTTTAAACAGTATAAGTGGGTAGATTATGAAATTAATTAACTTGGAGTCAATTTTAATTTAACCTTTATAGACAAGTTGTTCCATGAATTAATTTCTACAAAAGACATTCTCCCTCCCTTGCCCAAAGTAGACGTTTACAAGTATGTCCAAATTATCCTTAGACTTTATATAACACTATATTCTATGAACAATAGTACTACACTCAATTTGATGAGAACCGAAGGACTTGGAATGAATTAAATTTTTAAAATAAATAATTTTATAAGTTAGGTTCTACTTTGCGATACATATGTTTCCCCACCTTTGCCCAAATTACAAGCTACGTTTACAAGTATCTTCAAATTGTATCATTTCCATCTCATTTTATGATCTCAATTTTAATACGGAGTAGCAAAGATTAACTCAACCATTTTCATAATTCAATTTTTATATTAATAAAGAGTTAATTTCATTTTTTATTCTAGATTTATTAGTGACAGTTCACGTTTAGTCTTTTTTTTTTTTTTTTTTTTTTTAATTTCAAAACATCCACTTTTGGTCTTAGTATTATTATGACATGATCGTTTTTTGTCATCTATCAACAAAACAGTTTAAATGTCGTTAAATACAAGGGTATTTCGGTATTCAATTTTATATCTTTAAAAAAAAAATAAACATAATAAATATAGCAGGTCAACGTACTTTGTATTAACCGAAGGCGGTTTGGCTCTCTAATTTCTCCAAAAAAATGTTTCTTTTGCTCTTAATTTTAATTTTTTATGTATTTAGATTGTTTCAACAACATTCAAAACGATTTTACAACCATTTACGTAAATAATTTGTAACAAAAAATTATAGGAACCTTATATTTTACTATTGAATTTTAAAGGAAAAAGTGTCAAATTGGCCCCCTAAGTCGAGTGGATAGTGCAATTGGGTCACCTAAGTGAAAAAAGCTCCATTCATGTCCCCTAAACCGGTAAAATTGTTCAATTAAGTCCAAGTTGACTTGTTTATCAGGTTAAATGCATATGGTGTTGACATGTGTCTTTATTTTATTTTATTTTATTAAAAATATTATTTATTATAAATTAATTAAAATAATAATAATAATAATAATAATAATAATAATAATAATAATAACTTAAAAAAAAAAAAAAAAAAGAGCCACCGGCTGTCTTCCTTCTTCAAGGACAGCCGCAGCCGCTGTTTTTTTTTTTTTTTTTTTTTAATTCTTTTTAATTATTATTATCTTAATTAATTTATAATAAATAATATTTTTAATAAAAAAATAAAATAAGGACACGTGTCAACACCGTATGCATTTAACCTGATAAACAAGTCAACTTGGACATAATTGAACAATTTTACAGGTTTAGGAGACCTGAATGGAGCTTTTTTCACTTAGGGGACCTAATTGCACTATCCACTCGACTTAGGGGGTCAATTTGACACTTTTTCCAATTTTAAAATTTTTAGTTTAAATTTTATTATTATTATTTGTGTTTTAAATAAAAAAAATTTTTTTAAAAAAAAATTGGCGCCTAGGGGGCGCCTAACGTTTTTTGCAACCTTGGGTTTATTTATGAGCAAATACTAATTTTGATCCCACGAGTATTAGCAAAATGACGGTTTTGGTCCGCATGTTTAATTCCTACCAATTTTCATCCATGACTATTGTTTTAGTACCAATTTTCATTCATGACTATTTTTTAGTATCAAAATTCATCACGCTGGTCACTCCTCCAATTAAGACATGTTGAAATCTAAAAAATTTAAGGGCATTTTCGTCCTTTCAACTTAAGATTCCAATTTGGGTATGAATCAATGTTGCAAAAAATGTTAGGCGCCGATTTTTTATTTTTATTTTTATTTTTTTAATTAAAAAAATTAAAATTAAAAATTATCAAAATTCACTAATAAAACATAAGGTTCTCATAGTTATTTCTTAGAAACTATTTACATAAGTGGTTGTAAAATTGTTCAAAAGATTGTTTAAACCATCTAAATACATAAAAAACTGAAATTAAGAGCTAAAGAAGCATTTTTTGGAGAAATTAGTGGGTCAAACCGCCTACGGCGATTTGAAAATTTTTTTTGTCCAAAATGAACAACCGAATCAAAGTTATGCATTCCCGAACTTTTTCCACTTTACAACGCAATAAATAAATAAATAAATAAAATATTAAACGCCGGTTCAGCCGGCTTGGCGGTCTAGGCAGTCGCCTAGCCGGCCGGCCGCGGAAGAGGCCGATTCAGGCCTTCCTCGCGGCGGCCCGCGGCCGCCTTGCGCCTAGGCGCAATTTTTGCAACACTGGTATGAATAAAGGGATTTAAGTCCTAATATCGATCCAATTTGCGGTTCTCCTCCTCATCCTACCTTAATGTGAGGAGGAAAACTACAAATTGGGATATATTTTAGGGCTTAAATCATTTTATTTATGCTCAAATTGGGTTACTAATTTGAAAAGGACGAAATACCCTTAATAATTTCATATTTCAGCATGTCTTAAACGAAGGGGTGATCGGTGTGATGAATTTTGGCACTAAAACAATAGTCGTGGATGAAAATTGGTATTAAAATAATAGTTTATTTATACTACTTATTGCCTTTTAATTTTCATGTATATCCAAAATTGAAATTGAAATTACCAATAACTCTATTTCTACAAGCCAAACACTGAAATTTAAATTACCACTTTATTCTCATATTATTCATCTCCCATGAAATTGTAATTCTCTCATAAAATTGTAATCACTTCTCTACTTAATTTCCTCTCTCCAATCAAACGCCTCGTTCGTTACTGACTTACAGCACGTTTGGTTCACGGAATGAATTTGGAGGGAATAGGAATGCTATTCCATAGGGAATGGAATAGGTAAGGAATAGAATAGGAATTGTACTTTGTTGTTTGGTTGGCTGAAGGAATAGACTTTAGTAATTGTATTCCAGTGTTTGGTTGGTTAAAGGAATAGAAATGGAATAGGTTTTAAAGACAGAAATACCCTTATACAAAATAATAATAATAATAATAATAATAATAATAATAATAATAATAATAATAATAATAATAATAATAATAATAATAATAATAATAATAATAATAATAATAATAATAATAATCTAACTCTATAATAAAGCAAGAAGTTTTGCCAATCATTGTTTCCCGCTCAATTGAAACTACGCCGTTTTGCTTTAGTATTGTTCCATGATCGAATTGCTTATTCATTGTGCGCGTGTAAGTTGATTCCGCATTGGTAATATGCCTAGCCGTTCTTATTATTATACAATCCTTGGTTCCCAAGGAGTTCAATTAATGTAGAACTCTTGGTATTGTAAACAAGTTGATTAATATTAATATCAAAGCATAAAGAACTGATCCGGCCTACAAGAAAGAATCTTATATATTACATAGATTACATAGAATATGCAGAGTTGCAATTTTCAAATTCACATTAATTGAGATGTGCGATTTCCAAAACATTGGCTCCTGGTATCTTCTTTTTTTTTTGAATTTTCAATATGTATAAATACCCGACTTCTTCATGCCAAAACACTTCGCAAAATCAGATCACTTTACTACCTTTTCGAAAGCATTTTTGGGTGTTTCAACATGCCTTCCATGTTCATTGCTGTCAAAAACATAAAGCCGGAACACCAGCTCCGGGCAATCAGAGTGAGAGCAGTACGTGTCTATGAAGTTCCTGAGAAAAGGTGAGAGGGGCAGGCCAGTAAGAGCATGGAAATATTGTTCCATGATGAAGAGGTACTTTTATCTATTTGCCAATCTGATTTTATCTACTACTTTCATGCCATGTTATCTAATTTTTTTTGCTGTTTATAATTTTTTTCTATTGTATTCGCAGGGAGACTACATTCATGCGAGTATTATTAAAAAAGACATTGGAAAGTATAGAGATACAATAAAGGAAGGGAAAGTGTTTGAAATCAAGAACTTCATGGCTTCTACAAACTACTATGTCTACAAGATTACAGAGCATGGTTTCATGCTTAAATTCAACTACAGAACACAAGTGAAGGAAATACATTCTAATGGCTTTCCTTGCAAAATGTTTAGATTAAAGATTTTTTTGGCTTTGAAAGATCCTGATGATGTGAATGACAAGGAACTGATTGGTACTAACTTTACCTTTCCTAACTGCTAATATCTTTTTTATTATACTTTCAGTACTTCTTTCTAATATTTTGTTCATTTTGCAGATGTTATTGGAAGGGTAATTGAGATTTACAATCCTGTGGACAAGATTATAGGGGGAAAGGCCACCAAACTAATCGACTTTCAAATTGAAGACAATGCGTAAGTTTTTGAAAATGAACTTTGATTACATTAGAAAATGATGCAGTGGTTTTTTTTTTTTAATACTTTTCTATTATTTTTCTGTTTCTAATCCAGTGAGAACACCATGATGTGTACACTCTGGAATGAGCATGTATCTTCCCTTATGCCTTTTTACAATAGTGATTCGAAAGAACCACTAATTGTTGTCATTCAATGCTGTAGGGCTAAAGTTGTGGGTGGTGAGTTTCTCTACTGTTTTCTGTTATAATCTATTGATCAATCCACCTTTTTACTTTTTATTATGGATTGTTTAAACACATGATCCTCTATTTTCTAAAAACAGAGTATCTATAAATAAGTGCATCTATTTGTATCAATTTTTTTAGGTGAAGTGAGAATAACCAGTTCGTATGATGCTACGAAGCTTTGGTTCAATGAGGATTTTGAAGAATTTCAAGAGTTTAAGTCAAAGTAAGTTAATCTTTTATATTTCTCATATTTTTTTTATTTATCTTTATTAATATATGCTCTACTCTGTACTTATGATTGTAGACAAGCTATATATTTGTTTTTAACATCTGTGTACTGGATTCAAAAAAAGAAATACATTGAACTCTGTATATATGAAGTTAATCTCTTATATTTCTCCTATTTTTTTTATTTATCTTTATTAATGTATGCTCTACTCTGTACTTATGATTGTAGACAAGCTATATATATATTTTTAACATCTGTGTACTGGATCCAAAAAAAAAAAATACATTGTACTCTGTATATATATTGAAGTACCATGATGTACAGTGTATGCATTTCTTTAACTTTAGCTATTTTAAATGTTGTCTACTGTATTGTTGTTAGGTTGTTTAAACACATATGTAAAAAAGTTTCTAATATTTTTGAAGGTTGAAAGCTGAGGGTACTCCAATGAGAAGTCTTAGTACTGGCACACTACATTCAAACTCTACAGGCATTAGTGAGTTTAATAATGCTTCTGTTATTGTAACTAACTGCCATGATATTAAGAAGGTTAGAGAGGTAATCAACACACTAAGCTAGCAATTCTTTCTTTTATTTGATGTAACTGATTTTGTTAAGTGCTATATATACTTATAAAATTATTTGTATACTATAGGATGGGGAATACTATGTGGCTGCTGAGATTCTTGGGTTAGATTTTGAGGATGATTGGTACTACTTATCATGCCTGAAACTTGGATGTAATAAGAAACTAAAAGAACAGGAAGGAACACTTTTTTGTACTAAGTGTAAAAAGACTTGTATGATGGGTACAGTTAGATATAAAGTAGTTGTTATTGCTCTTGACAAATCTGGAGATGCTCCAATGTTGCTTTGGGATAGAGAAGTGGCAGAGCTTGTGGGTATTCCTACCTCTATTTTGTATGCAAAATACAAGGAGGTAAATTCTTCTAATTGTCTCTCACCCTTTTTTTCCTATACTGTATTTTCTAAGTTTTTAATTAGGTTATTTATCACCTACCTAAACAGCTTGATGTTGAAGTGCCACCTGAGTTGGATGCTATAGTTGGAATGAAGATGCTGTTTAAGATCAACTTCAAGCTGGCTCAAAAGATGGGTCCCAATTACCCATTCAATGTTGTGAGGGTTGTCAGGGATGAGCAATTGTTGAAAACCTATAGTGACAGGTTTGTGGAGCATCAAGAGCAAAACTTAATCTCTAGAATGATTGAGGAGGAAACTAACACCGATGCAATTTCTGAAGTAAGAATTTGAAACCCTAAGCTCTATGATTTTTTAAAATGATGGTTACTAATAGGGTTTACTGCTTTTCTTAATAACAGGAAGACTCGATTGCAGTTGAAGTGAATAGTCCTGCCACTGTCCAGCCCTCGCAAAAGGAAGGAGAAGACAATGCTGAAAATACTGGGGCTATTAAAAGGTCACTTTTGGATGAGTTTTCATCATCCAAAAGTAGGAAGAAGTTGACTGACTCAGAAATCAAAAAGGAAAAAATGTAATTGAGATTCATGGTTGGAAGTGATTGTTGTTAGCCTGCTACTATCCAGACATATTTACTTTTTTTTTTTCCTAATCCTGTGGTGTGACACTTATTAAATTTTAGTTTTTTGGAGTTTTTATAAGTTTTAACTACTGTTTTGAGTGATTGCCTAACTGTTTATTACAATTAATTGGTGTATCTACTGCTATTAGAACCTGTTTTGCAGTTTTTCTAATCTTCCTTTCAGGTTATTCAGAGTAAGGATGATAGGTGGCCAAGGTTAGCAAGGATGCTAGGTGGCCAAGGTTTTAAAATGCAGACAGAATGGAAATAGTTTTGGAAGAAACTGACACTTTGTAGTTGTAGTTTTGTATAGGTTCAATTACATGTTTAACTACTACTATAAAAGACTATATATGTAAGTTGCTAAAAATATTTAATCATGACAGTTATTTGCAAATAATATTCCAATTCTAAACTGTTATATGTAAATACCTTGTGCCTAAAAAATAGAGTTAGTTTCACTTACCTATTTGCAAAATCTTCTTTTACTCTGTTTGCAACTCTCCAAAGCACTTGATGTCCAAGCTGGTATCCATCAAAATTTGCTAGCACATTTAAAAAGAAATTAGATAACAGCACCTAAATTCAATATTTGTAAAGTAATTAACATTACTGTGTTAACTAAAAAACTGAGAATCTCCTTTAATTAGAAAAATTATTTGATCCTACACAAATCTGACTTCTATACTGATATAGAATAAAACAAAACAACAAAGTCAAACCAAAAAATTGAAAACTATTGCATTCCTGGTATACTCATACAGATATCAAAGACACTGGAAATAAAATTAGATGAACTGGGTCGATACTCGAGGACCATTTGTTGAAAAAAGTCATTTTATTCAATGTGTCTATTATTAATAAAACAAAGTTGTTGCTTCCAATAAAACACATTTAAAGAATATTATGACACAGTAGAGGAACATTATACCAGTTTTAACCAAAGAGAAAAAAAAAATAAGTACTTAACATTACCGTGTTAACTAATAAACTGAGAATCGACCTTAATTAGAAAAATAATTTGATCCTACACAAATCTAACTTATATACTGATATAGAATAAAACAATGTACCAAAGTCAAACAAAAAAATTGAAAACTTTTTGCATTCGTGTTATACTCATCCAGATATCAAACACACTAGAAATAAGGGAAGATGAACTGGGTCGATACTCGAGGACCATTTGTTGAAAAAAGTCTTTTTTTATTCAATGTGTCTATTGCCTTACAAATTAAAGTGAACAAACTTCCAAACTATGCAAGTATATGCATACAAACTAATCTAAAGACAGGCAAATAAAGATAAAGTCTTAACCTATTTGCTTATATGACCATATTGCTTTTAGTGATCTTTGATTGATGTGTTATTTTCTGCTTGATGCTCTTCAATTGATCCAGAGCTAGGATTATTTCATTCTAAAAAGAATAACAACAAAAAAAAAGGTTAGAATTTGTGTTCAGAATATTTAATAACAAGACCAAGAGGAAAAGGATACACTGGCATAACAGAGAATTGAAGATTAGTATAACCAAATAATCAATGTGTGTGTTCAATGTTCTTACAACTTATCAAAAGAAATTGACAACAATGGAAGTAAAAACAGATGGACTTGGTCTATACTTGAAGACCATTTGTTGAAAAAAGTATTTTTAATTCAAAGTGTCTATTGCCTTACAAAGTAAAGTGAACAAACTTACAAACTATGCAAGTATAACAATACAAACTCATCTAAAGTAAGGCAAATCAAGATAGAGTCTTAACCTATTTGCTTATATGACCATAGTGCTTTTATTGGTCTTTGATTGAACGCTTATTTTCTGCTTGCTGCTCTTCAATTACTCCAGAGCTTGGATTATTTCATTCTAAAAAGAATAAGAAGAAAAAAAAAGGTTAGAATTTGTGTTCAGAATAAATAATAACAACACCAAGAGGAAAAGGATACACTGGCATAACAAAGAATTGAATAGTTTTAGAAGCAAAGAATCAATGTGTGTGTTCCATGTTCTTACAACTTATCTAAAGAAATTGAATACAATGGAATTATTGGCATGTGAAGTAAAAGTTAATCATTCTTAGGGAAAGAAACACATTCCCTAAACATTAAATATAATTGATGGCCAGCTATCATTACTATTAAGAGAAAACCCTTCAGTTCCAGTCCTATTTTCAAAATCAAGGCAAAAGTTAAATAAACTACAATGAACCCATCTAAAGAAAGATGCCCAATCTAACTCCCAACACAGTTCTCCAGTTTCAGACCTCAGCCAAATAGACAATTCACATCTACATTTTCAACTACACACAATAGACAGTACAATGAGGAAAATCACTAAGTCAACAATTATAGGCATCAAAAGGAAACCAAGTGAGGAAAATAAAGGTAATTTCGAAACTTATCTTTTTCATACTTGAAATGAAGCTGCATTGGAGCATCCCTCTTGCTGTGCGATTCTGTTTATGCTCTCCATCTCCTCAAATAATTCCAGTATGTCCATAAAAAACAACATGATAAAGTCGATTAGAGGTTAGGATTTGTGTGAAAATAATATAGCTATAGCATTTTGAACATGATATTTACACAGTTAACAGTAATCTCAATTGGGTGTTTTTAGAGCAACACTATAAAGAATACGATTTAGAACCCTAATTGCTATGAATCATACAAATATGAAATTAAGAGATTTTATGTAGGATTGTCGATCTGCATGCTTACATCCAGAAAAATAGATCAAGTTTAGAATGGACAACAGTGATAAATAGGAAACCCTAAACAAATTGACTGCAAATTTAACACATACTAACCTTATTAGTTGAAAATTAGCTTCACTGCATCGCGATTTCCACCATTGACTGTTATTGAACACCACGATCTTTCACAGAAATGAAAGATCGCTATTATGTACTGAGAATCGGGCGATGCTCATCTAGACCCGAGTACAATTTCTGCGGAAACAATGTTCAATAAGAACAGTTGAATCCGAGATAACGAGTAAGGGCCGATCTAGATTTAGGCTTGACAGAGAGAGATCGGAACATCGTTTTGAGATTGTGAAGAACAGATTTGTTCAGACATGCGAAGGAGAAGGGTGCACCCGTCTTCCTCATCTCAAAAGATTCCGACCGAACAAACATATAAAATTATATATATATATATATATATATATATATATATATATATATATATATATATATATATATATATATATATAAATTGTTTGCATATATTCATTTCTGTATATATATAATTATATGCAAACAATTTATATATTTATATATATATATATATATATATATATATATATATATATATAATTATATATATAGACATAGTATTATTTAATTTTGAATTGTTATGTGTAATTAATTAGATATATTATTTTTCATTGTAATGGTATTTATTGTGCACACAATTTTGTGGACCATGTTATACCTAATAATTTGTCCACTAAACTGTAATATTTGTTTATAGCAATTACAATTTCAGGTTATAGGCTAGCATAATTAGATTATCCGTTAGGTGTGTTTAGTGTCACAACAACTACTTTCGACATAAATGTTAGGCAAATCTTTAACAATTACAAATTAATGTTGTAATGTTAACTATGTTATGTGTAATTTATTTTTACGATTTTTTATTATTTGAATTATTTTTTATTTTAATGTTATATTTTATATCACAGAAAATGAATTGGGCAACTCATCATCAAGGAATAATTATGCTCAAAGGAAAACAGCAACCTCCGGCAATAAATCCTTCCCGCATTCCTTTTGGAGGGTGTTTGTCTCAAAACATCACACCATTAAGTAACATTGCTAACGGTAAATCCCCTAAGTTGAATTGATATACCTTCATTGTGATTTTTAAAAACCTTATATTTTTAATTATGGAAAAAATGTCTGTAAAATTAAATTGTACAATTATAATTTAAGTAATGGACCATACCACTTTGCATGGAATACTTTAGTATTACAATAATACTTTGATTGGTATTAATGATATATACTTTCTAATTAATGGTATTTATTGTTCACAAAATTTTGTGGACCATGGTCTACCTAATAATTGGTCCACTTATTAGGTAACCCTTATTTATAGCAATTACAATTTCAAATTATAGGCTAACATAATTAATAGCGTTAGGTGTGATTAATTTATAAAATTTAAACTGCTGTAATTACTGTTGTTATTATAGTCTTCTAATTTTTTTATTTTACATCACAGCAAATTATTTTGGCAACTCATCATTAAGGACTAATGTTGGTCAAGGTAAAGAGCAACATACGCCAACTAATCCTTCCAAAATTCCTTTGGGAGGTGGTTTGTCTCAAGATATCACACCATTCAGTAACATCAGTAACGGTAAATCCCCTAGGATTAATTGATATACATTCATTGTGAATTTAAATATCCTTATAGTTTTAATTGTTAAACGATGTTTGTCAAATTAAATGTTATAATTATAATGTAATTTATGTTTAATATCAATTTCTAATTTTTCTTTACAATAGTTAAATTTCTTTTGTTATGTGTAATTAATTTATTAGATTGTACTTAATGATATATACTTTTTCATTCTAATTCTATTTAGGGTGCACAAATTTCTGTGGACCATGGTCAACGTAATTCTATTCGATTACATATTAATGTTGTGCAATTGAAAAAATATTTACGTTATGTGTAATGAATTGTTTCGAGTTATAATTATTGAAATTATTTCTTAATTTAATGTTATATTTTATATCACAACAAATTATTTCGGCAACTCATCTCTTACGAATAATGCTGCTCAAGCTAAAGACCAACGTACGACAACTAATCCTTCCAGAATTTCCCTTGGAGGATGTTTGTCTGAAAATATCACACCATTGAGTAACATCACTAACGGTAAATCCCCTAAGATGAATTGATATACATTCATTGTGAATTTAATTATAATGTAACTCATGGTCCATAGAACTCTGTGTGGAATTGTAATTTCACTAATTTGTCTTCATATGATTTACTTTTTAATATCAATTTCTAATTTTTCGTTACAATAGTTAAATTTCTTTTGTTATGTGTAATTAATTTGTTAGATGGTACTTATTGAAATATACTTTTTCATTATAATTCTATTTAGGATGCACAGATTTTTGTGGACCATGGTCTACCTAATAATTTTTCCACTAAAATATAATACTTATACATTGAAATTACTATTTCATATTCTAGGCTAGCATAAGTAATAATGTTAGTTGTACAAAATTTATAATATTAAGACTTCTATAATTTATTTTGTTATTATGTGCTACCAACTATTTTTTTAATAGTCCCCTAAAATGTAGGGTTTAAATTAATTGTGACTTTAAATATTGTTATACTTTAAATTTGTCTAATATTACGTATGTGTACAGTACGTTCGTCCAATACACAAATAAGTGCAAGCAATTGCCAGCCATTTGTTTTTGGAGATAAACAAAATCCTGCATCGACGATAACACAAGATGAATTTGCAATGCGTAAACCATTACATAAATATGCAATTGTCGAAGACCATGTAACAACAAGAGACTTGCTATCTGCCTTTGAAGATGAATGTAACCCTACAATGATCGACGCCCCAAATCAGTACATAGCAGGTAATAAGATACTCTCCTGGTTTTTGAAACAACTATAAGTAAAGTACATATGCAAACCTTCAACTTTTAAAATTGATTTTTAAATGTATTTTTAATTTCAGATGCGGATATATCGAGTAACGATGTTAGGCAGACCTCGGATATTGGGACATCCTCTGGTCCACAACATGGTATGTATATTTGTTTTATAACTGCATAAAATATCAATCAGTATTTCATTTTGTATATATTTGGTTTCAGGTCAATACTGCGATTTTGGTGATGTAACAAATAAATGCGTCCATTGTGGGGCTTTGTTTTGGTTTGAAGAAAGGAAGAAGAATTTGTCAACAAAAGCATCGCCACTGTTTATGCTGTGTTGCAACAATGGGAAGATCAAGTTGCCGGAGAATAAGTTGCCACCAAAAGGTATATTTGATCTCTTTTTCGGCAATGACGAATTATCAAAAGAATTTTTACACAACATTAGGACATATAACAACATGTTCTGCTTCACATCCACGGGAGGAAAAATTGACAAGAACGTGAACAAGGGGGGCGCACCGCCAATTTTTCGATTAAGTGGTCAAAACTATCACCTAATGGGCACTCTACTTCCAGAACAAGGCAAAGAACCTCATTTTGCCCAGTTATACATATACGACACGGCAAATGAAAAAATCAACCGTATAAATGCTGTGAGGTAAACATGTTTGCATAATTACACATTAAATACTATTTTTTATCTAAATAAATATCAATGTCAAGTTTATGTTGTTGTAGGGGTAGTGGTGAGCAAGATGACATTCATGTAGAAATAGTGAATGTCATTCAGAAAGACCTCGATGAAAATAATGTTTTGGTTAAGTCTTTTCGGATGGCTATGTCTGAGCTGGATATTAATCCATGCGCCGAAGTCAAAATAAAGTTGTTGGGAAAACGAACTAGAGATGAGAGGACATATAATCTGCCGCAAGTTTCTGAAGTAGTAGCTTTAATTGTGGGAGATCTGGATACCAGTATTGGAGAGCGTGATATTATTGTTCAATCGAAGGGTGGCCACCTACAGAGGATAAGTGAATTAAATCCTTCATACTTACCACTGCAATACCCTATTTTGTTTCCATATGGCGAAGACGGTTATCGGGAAGACATTGCATTCGCGAACGTAGTAGGCAAGCGCTCTTCAGGTGGTAGACAGAGGATTAGTCCCAGGGAGTTTTTTTGCTACCGCATACAGTCTAGACAGTTAGCTCCGAGTACCATATTATTTGCAAAGCGGTTGTTCTAACAGTTTGTTGTAGATGGCTACACAATGGTTGAGTCTGGAAGACTAATTTATATAAGGACACACCAAAAAAGCCTACGGTGTGAGAGTTATAGTGGATTGACTGATGCTTTGACAAGGGGTGAATTAAGCCCTGCAACCCAAGGTCGCAGAATAATACTACCTTCAAGTTTTACGGGTGGTGCTAGATACATGATACAAAACTACCAAGATGCAATGGCAATATGTAGATGGATTGGATACCTAGATTTATTTATAACCTTTACATGCAATCCGAAGTGGCCTGAGGTGCAACGCTTTTTAAAAGATCAAAGGTTGAAGCCAGAAGATCGGCCGGACATAATATGCCGGTTATTCAAGATTAAGTTGGATGCTTTGATAGCTGATTGTCGAAAGAATAAACTATTTGGCCCTGTGGCTGGAGGTAATATTTGTTATTTTATTTTAAATCAATTTTGTTACAATTTTATGTAATTACTTAACCTTATGATGTTTATGTCTATGTTGTTGCAGTCATATATACAATTGAGTTTCAAAAGCGAGGTCTTCCGCATGCTCATTTATTACTTTTTTTGGAGAAAAGTAAAGAAGTTAGGCAAGTTCTTACTCTAGACAACATAATTTGCGCAGAGATTCCAGATGAAAAGAAAGATGCAGAGTATTACCAAGCGGTAGAGGAATTTATGATGCATGGTCCATGTGGAAAAGCGAGGACTAATTCTCCATGTATGGTAAATGCGCGATGCTCTAAACATTTTCCCTAAGAGATTTGTTGAGAGTTCTACATTTGATGAAGATGGTTACCCGGTATATAGAAGGAGAGACAATGGCAGTGTAGTTACAAAGAACGGGATCGCCTTGGACAACAGGTATGTGGTACCGCACAATAGATATTTATTGCTCAAGTACAAGGCTCATATAAATGTCGAGTGGTGCAACCAGTCACGGTCAATCAAGTACCTGTTCAAGTATGTTAACAAGGGTCATGATCGGGTGACCGCCGAATTTTACAAAACAGGCAATGATGACGAGAATGGCAAAGCAATAGATGAGATAAATATATACTATGACTGTAGGTACATATCCCCGTGTGAAGCGGCTTGGCGTCTGTTTGGTTTTGATATACAACTTCGGGCGCCTTCAGTGGAAAGGTTAAGCTTTCACCTTCCTAATCAACAGAGTGTGATATTTGCAGATGATGATGCTGTTGAGAACATTGTGAATAGACCTACGATAGCACAGAGCATGTTTTTGGAATGGTTTGAAGTAAATAAAACATACCCCGATGCGAGAGAACTTACTTATGTTGAGATGCCAACACGATTCGTTTGGAAGAAAGACCTTAGAAAATGGCAGCCACGAAAGAAAGGGTTCAGAATAGGACGTATATTCTATGTCCCGCCAGCTACTGGTGAAATTTTCTATTTGAGGTGTTTGCTGAACAAAATCCGTGGCCCTAAAAGTTATGAAGATATTAGGACTGTAAATGGGGTGCAATATGACTCATTTCGAGATGCGTGTTATGCAAGGGGTTTAGTTGATGATGATAACGAATATGTTGATGCAATAGATGAACCCAGTCACTGGGCGTTAGCAGATCAATTGAGGAGATTGTTTGTGACATTGCTAATGAGCAATTGCATGAGGAAACTGGAAATAGTTTGGCATGCTGTGTGGCAACATCTATCAGACGATGCACAATTCAACGTCCGTAAACAACTGCAGAACAGAGGTAATCGTACATTTTAAAAAAAATATTAAGTCAAGTTTAACGTAGTTGTGTTATAACACCAAATTTTAATATATATTTATGCAGATTTTGTGTTGACCGATTCGCACAAAATGAACTTTGCTTTAGTAGAGATTGAGAAGCTATTATCTAATCATGGTAAGAGTTTGAAGGACTATCCTGAAATGCCAACGGCAAATTTTGGTGCCTTAAACGTTATTGCAAATAGGTTTATTCAAGAAGAATTGGCATACGATTGTGGCGAACAGGAGAAAGAGAATCAAGAATTGGTAAGGCAGTTAACAGACGAACAAAAGGCAATATACAATGAAGTGTTAACTGACCTTGATCGCCAGGAAGGGGGGTTATTTTTTGTTTTTGGTTATGGAGGGACCGGTATGACTTTCTTGTGGCGAGCACTTTCTTCCGCATTAAGGTCTAAGAGTCAAATAGTGTTAAATGTTGCTTCTAGCGGCATAGCTTCGCTTTTATTACCTGGTGGGAGGACGGCACATTCTCGGTTTGCTATACCGATAGCTGTTAATGAAGATTCCACATGCAACATACGTAACGGCAGTGAACTGGCAGAACTACTTGTGCAAACCAAGTTGATAATATGGGATGAAGCCCCAATGATGCATAAATTCTGCTTTGAAGCTCTTGACCGAACTATACGGGATTTGATGCGCTTCATAAATCCAAGGAGTTCTGATATGACATTTGGTGGTAAAACAGTTGTTTTGGGGGGCGATTTCAGGCAAATTTTACCAGTCATTCCAAAGGGTACTAGACCGGATATAGTTCGAGCAAGCATTAGCTCATCCTATCTCTGGAAATCCTGTAAAGTCCTAAGGCTTACTAAGAATCTACATTTGAAAAGTGTTCAATCAGAAAACGAGTGCAAGGAGATCGAGGAATTTGCAAAATGGATAACTAATATAGGTGACGGAATTATTGGGTGTAAACTTGATGGGGAGTCCGAGATTACTGTTCCAGAAGATTTGTTGTTGAAGTGCGTAGATGACCCTATTGCTACAATTGTTGATAGCACTTTCCCTAATTTCCGACTGGGAATTGCCGATTTGTCATATCTTAATCATAGTGCAATTTTAGCTCCAACATTGGATGTGGTAGATGCCGTTAACCAATACATGAATGATCATAATCCGGCTGAGGGTAAGACATACTTGAGTTGTGATTCTGTGTGTAAGTCAGATGCAAATGTTGACATGTTAGCGGATTTGCACACTCCCGAATTCTTGAATGCCTTGAGATGTTCTGGAGTACCAAATCATGCTTTGACATTGAAAGTTGGATCACCTGTTATGCTATTGCGAAATATTGATCACACACTAGGATTATGCAACGGTACAAGGTTGATTGTTACAAGGTTGGCTGACCATGTGTTGGAAGGCCAAATCATGTGCGGTACAAATGCAGGAACCAAAGTATTGATTCCTAGGATGTCACTTACACCGTCAGATCCAAGATTGCCTTTTCAAATTTCAACGAAAGCAATTTCCTTTGATGCTATCCTATGCCATGACAATCAACAAAAGTCAAGGACAAACGCTTGCTAAAGTTGGGTTGTTGTTGAAAAAACCTGTCTTTAACCATGGACAACTATACGTAGCTGTTTCAAGAGTTAGTAACCCCAGGGGTTTGAAAATTTTGATTTGCGGGGAAAGTGTACCATGTCTTAGTACGACTAAAAATGTTGTGTACAAAGAAGTCTTCAATAATGTATAATAACATTCCAGAATTTATTATTTAAAATTTAGTATTTTTTTTAAATAATAGGTTTCTTATTATTATTATATTATACATAATATTCTATGTACTATATAGGTAGCCATGCATCACATTATTTCAACAATGAAGTCTTCAACAATGTATAATAAAATTACTATATTCATCAATGTGTAATAAAATCACAAGTTTTCATTTCAAATTTTGTAAGGTTCAAATAACTATATTCTATACTGCATATATATCATACTATATATATAGTCGCGCATCGCGCGGGTGCACCTACTAGTAATAATAATAATAATAATAATAATAATAATAATAATAATAATAATAATAATAATAATAATAATAATAATAATAATAATAATAATAATAATAATAATGAATATGATTATGATATACTGAATGAAATATATATATATATATATATATATATATATATATATATATATATATATATATATATATATATATATATATATAATTATATTTATATTTATATATTTATTTATTGATTTATTTATATTTATATTTATATACATGTATATGCATGTGTGTGTGAGAGAGAGAATAACAATAATAATAATAATAAGTATTATTATTATTATTATTATTATTATTATTATTATTATTATTATTATTATTATTATTATTATTATTATTATTATTATTATTATTATTATTATTATTATTATTATTATTATTATTATTATTATACAAATACATATTTTTATTTAAATTTATTTTCCCACTTATCCTACATCTGTTGGAGAAGTAAGGAAGGGAGCCTTGAGGCTCTTATAAAAGGAGCTTCAAGGCTCCATAATTAAAGAGTCTTATATAGTTATTAATTTTTTTATTTACATATATATATATATATATATATATATATATATATATATATATATATATATATATATATATATATATATATATATATATATATAGATTGATGGATAAAAATTATAATTAATTAAATATATACATTTATATAATACATTATATTTATTAAATAAATATAAATATTATATAATGTGCAAAGGGTATTTTTGGTGGCTCAAGTGCCAAATAGCACCATGAACCAACTACGAAATGTCATCCCGCACCCTAAACTTATATAAGTGTTTATTCGATTCTCAAACCAAAAAAATTTGTTCACCTAGCATTTTTTACAGGTTACCCTGTTACCTAGATGACATGGCTCCGGTTAAAATTGACGTGGCAGCTGATTAAAATTTTTATTTCGAATTTGACTTATTTATAATGTATTCATCTTCTCCCTATCGCAGCCCTTGTAGACGACAGACACATCTTCTCCCCTTGGCAGCCCTAGGTTTTCCGACGATAAGCCAGAGATCTCCAAGATGTCATCTTCTTCAACTTCATCACGGGTTAGAGTAAACATGGAGTACGAGCCAAGTGTATATTGTAATTGTGGATTGAAAGGTCCAATTTGCACAAGTAGAGAATCGGGAAAGCAATTCTTTGGGTGTCAAAGATGGAAGGTATGTATTTATTGAAATTTTGTATGAATTTTGAGTTTATTAAAGCTAGGGTTCGTCGTTTTTTGGGTATTTTATTTGGTTGTTGATTTTGGTAATTTTTTACTTTTTTATGGGTAATTTGTTTAATTGAGTTGTATAGGATGGCAATGGTTGTGGCTTCTTCCTTTGGAAGGATCACAATGCAAGGAGGAGTGGAGATGAGCATGAAGACCTAAAGAAGATGGTGGGGTCTTTGAGGAGTGAAATCGAAATTGTTAAAGAATTAATTGTAAATGAGTATTGTGGTATGAAAAAAGAAAACAAAGTGTTGAGGATCAAGTGTGTTGTTCTCCTAGTTGTAATTGTGGTGCTTCTAGCAAAAATTTTTAGTTAGAAATTGTAATGGTTTGGCATTGTAATGAAAAAAATGGTATTTTGCAATTTAAGTTTCCAGTTTTCAATTTGAATTTCCAGATTTAAGCTTGCATTGAATTCCAGTTTATAGATTACAGATTGCAATTCCAGTTTATAGATTCCAGATTCCAGTTTTAAGCTTCATGGATCAATGCTTCTTGAATAGATTACAGATGACAGATTTCAGTCCACCAATTCAAGTTTCTTGCCTTAAATACAGTGAACCAGGTTAATAATCAGCTGTAGAAGGTTAACCACATCAACAACCAGCTGTAACAATCATGCCCCATCTAAAATAGTTAAATAATGAACACCTTCAGGCAAGTTAACCACATCAAAGGGCTATGGAGAACAAAGTGATTTGAAACCACCACTTAAATGGCTATAGAGAACAATCAACTAAAATCAATGACTGTATTTTACAGAGAATGTGCAGCTACTGAACCAGGTTTATAAGACTAGCTGATTACATAAGTCATACTACATTGGCAATTACATAAGCCAATAAGTTAGATTTACATATAATACATAAGCCAAAACAGTCTATTGATGTCTTCATCTTGCCAAAAGAGTCAATGGATGTCGTCAAAACAGTCATTAAGCATTCACTTTATCTTGCCAAAATAGTCACTTGATGTCTTCAAAATAGTCATTAAGCATTCACTTTATCTTGCCAAAACAGTCACTTGATGTCCTCAATTTTCAGTGCACTCTACAAGCATAAACAAAAACAAAATATTAGTATCATAATCTAACACTTATAGGAAAAATATAAATAAACTTTTGTATCATTACCTGACATTCCAATGTAGCTTTCTTGAGATAACAAGCCACTATCAACATTAGCAGCATCTCTTCCACCACTTCCAGCAGCCCTTCCACCACTTCCAGCAGCTCTTCCACCACTTCCAGCAGCTCTTCCACCACTTCCAGCAGCCCTTCCTCTACCTCTACCTCTTCCTCTGACAACTTGTTCTTGTTGGGTAGGACAATATCGTTTGTTGTGCCCCTTCCCCTTGCATAACTGACATGTCATTATCCTTCCCTTCCTTGACAGCTTTCTAACTTCTTCACTCATTTTGTTTTTGTCCTTGTTCTTTTCATCATGTTCAAGCTTTCTTTTTTTCTTGGGCCTGCCGGTCATCTTCCTTGGAACTGGAGCCTGTAACTCATCACCTTCAGTCCTTGGCCAAAATTGTTCTCCATTCATGGGTTGTATTACATGCTCATATGTCTTCATGTAAATCTCTTTACTGTAACATATATGTATGTACTGATCTGGCTGATCCCCCTTATGAAAGATTGCACAAACGGAATGAGGACATGGCAAACCAGTCAACTGCCACATTCTACACGAACAAGTTCTCGAATCTAAATTGACTTTGAACTGAAACCTTCCCTTTTTCACCTCATATCCATCAACTCCATTGAACACCACCTCCCAATCTGTACTCCCAATAATGTTTTCATTCAACATCTTCAAAATAATTGGGCCATAATTCCCATTCCATCTTTCACCAAGTGCTTTCTTCTTTGCAACCCTCTTCATCATTGCAACTCTTATGTCCTCTAGCATTGGAATGATATTCTTACTCCTGGCATTCAACAATGTCTTGTTGAATGCTTCACTCAAATTATTATCTACCATGTCGCATTTCACTTCCTCTTTGAAAAAAGCCTTGCACCATAGTTTCATAGGATACTTGTTGAGATCCTGAAGAGCTGCAACATCTGCCTTCTCTAAAGCTTTTAACTTGTCTGTAAGTAGTGCTTGGTTAGGGGTTTTTGCAATCTGCCAGAACAGTCCCTTGAGAACCTTCCCTCTGTGAGTCTTACTCCAATTGGCATGGACATGCCTAGCACAATTTCTGTGCTCACAACCAGGGAATAATTCCTGAATTACATTAGATAACCCCTGCAAATATTGAAGACAGATTATATATTGAATGCAATAAACAGATTATATAAACCAGATAATATAAGCAGATTAGTCAGTGATGATGAGCAGCAAACAGATTTTCCTTTAGTCAGTGATGATGAGCAGCAAACAGATCTTCCATTTATTATTTACTTCTATTCTTTGAGACCTTTATAATGTGTGTGGAAAGAAATATACTTCTCATACAAAATGAAAACTTCTACAGTAGCAGCAGTGTCACTAACAAGATTATAGAAACCAGAATTAAAGAAAGCAGATTACAGATTATAGAAAGCAGATTACAGATTATAGCAGCAGTGTCACTAACAAAAAAATAACACTTCAATCTGTTTTGTAGGTCTAATGGCAGATTAACGAAAGCAGATTACAGATTATAGAAACCATAATTAAAGAAAGCAGATTACAGATACAGATTACTATATGCAGTGTGAAACAGATTATAGAAACCAGAATGCAGAAACCATAAACATAATTACCTTCTGCTGATCACTCATTAAAGTCCATTGAGTGTTGTCCTCAATCTCCAAGTCAGTCTTCAAAAGCTTTAGAAACCAACTCCATGATGAGTTATTCTCAATCTCTACCACAGCCCAGGCAATTGGGTACATTTGATTGTTCCCATCTCTGCCCACAACTGATAGGATCTCACCTTTCAATTTACCTTTCAGAAAGCAGCCATCCAGTCCAATAAACCTTCTACAACCCCCTAGAAAACCCTTCTTGATTGCATTGAAACACACATATATCCTCTGAAATATCACGGGTGAATTAGGAACAGTGCTAGTTGTTGCAATCTTCACAGTAGAGCCTGGGTTAGAATCCAAACATTCTTGTGCATAATCCCTAAGTCTTTTAAACTGGCTCTCATACCCTATGTCAAGCTTCTTCAAAATCCCAGTAATTGCCCTTCTACACATACTAATAGTGACATTGAGGTTCAACTCAGACTTTATATCTTTGCTCAACTCAGAATACCCAATAGTTGGATTCTGCCTAACCTTGTCTTCATATTTCCATTCCAACCATTTTTGACTAACAATGCCTAAGGTGAATTGAGTGTTGCATTTATGATCCAAATTAATAGCTTTCAACTGAAAACACTTTGTTCTTTCCTCCCACCCTGCACTCACATGGAATTCACACCCCTTTCCAAGACATTCCACTCTAACATACTTTAAACTATTCTTCTTCCAAAATAAATCCCTCTTGGTGTGTATAGCATAACTTATCATGGCAAGTTTGAACTGCACATTATCATCAAAATACATGCCTAATTCAAGAAAGGGTGGATCAGATTTAGCATTGTATTTAGGGTACTTATCATTGTACCTTGATTGAACCTCATTCCCATCCTCATTATCCAAGTCTTCTTCAACAGTTGGTGGATCTTGTGAATCATAGTACACTGAATCTACCTCATCTATTACAAGATTTTCAGCTTGTGGTATAGGTTCAGCTTGTATTCCTATTTTCCTTTTCCTCTTATCTTGACCCTCATTGCCACTACTTATATGCTCACTGCCACTACTTATATGCTCACTGTCACTCCCAACATCATAATCACCATCTGCTTCACTCCCTTCTTCCTCACCAAGTTCTTCATCTTCTCCTTCCACTTCCTCACCCAATACTTCATCTTCTGAAGCTTCTGCCCCTAATCTCTCACCCAATATATCAGCTTCTGCCTCCCTCTCCTCACCCACTAATCCAGCTACATTCCCATCATCCTCAGGCCCAGGTAAACATAAACCAACCACCTCAGGCTCATCTACCCCATGCTCAACATATATCTCAACCTTTTTATTTTCACGAGCAATCTGAGCTAAATGTAGACTACTAGCATCATTATTTAACAGTTTTAAAGCTGTAAAGGGTTCAGAGGTCAACTTATAGGTAAGTGAGACTATGTTGCCATACCTTTGGGATGCTATATATTTCATTAAGTGGGGATAGCATATTAAGTCAGGGTCCAAATCCACTACCTCTATCTCACCATTCACATATTTAAACCTAGGGGATTTGACAAAATTACCACCATGATGAATGATTAAATCCACAGTATCAGTCATCCTGACAAAAAAGAAATGCAAAACACACTTTAAACGCTTTACACTATACAAACTAGAGCAGCAATACAATATACACTTTATACTTTATCAATTTACACTTTACACTAAACAAACTAGAGCATGGATGGTATCAATTTACACTTTACACTTCACAGGCATATTTAACCTTAACAGTTTACTAGAATAATGCAGAGAACATATTTAAACTTAACAGTTTTGAAGTATACTTATTAGTACATCACAGTATAATTGCAGGATGATTTAAGTCCAATGGAAATCAGTTTGTTATTTGTTATTCCCCTAAATCTGTATGTGACAAAATTGGTCCCCCACCCAGCATCATATTCAAAGCATATAAAGTAGGACCCCACTGCATCACAGTATCATATTCAAAGCATATAAAGTAGGACCCCACTGCATCACAGTATATACATACATATATTCAAAGCATATGGTCCCCCACCCAGCATCATATTCAAAGCATATATAGTAGGACCCCACCCCACTGCATCACAGTATATACAAACATATATTCAAAGCATATGGTCCCCCACCCAGCATCATATTCAAAGCATATATAGTAGCACCCACCCCACTGCATCACAGTATATACAAACATATATTCACAACAGCATTGAAAGAGTGTTCTACATACCTGACTCGGTTTGAGGTTTGAAACTGATTTCCAATCTTCTTTCCAGTCTTCTCGGTTCAGTTCCTCACTTCTCGGATTAGGGATTTACGGTGTCGAATAACAAATTCAGATTAGGGCTTAGGGCTTAAGCTAGGCGATTTGGGTTTGCGATTTCGGATATCGGTTTGCGATTAACCATTTGGTATCAAGTCACCATTTGGGATTGCGATTCTGATTTTGAGAAGGAGATTTTCAGACATTCAAAGGGAGTGCGATTATGAATTTTAGGTTTATTTCGCCTATATTATTACATTAAAGAGATGAATGGATGCCACATCAATACACGTCTCTGCCACATATACTAAATACGACACGTCGCACCCAAGTCAGCGCCACATCACCAACTTATAACCTTTAACTTGAGGGTAACCTGTAAAAAATGCTAGGTGAACAAATTTTTTTGGTTTGAGAATCGAATAAACACTTATATAAGTTTAGGGTGCGGGATGACATTTCGTAGTTGGTTCATGGTGCTATTTGGCACTTGAGCCTATTTTTGGTATTTGTGATATAAAAGCTATTCCCAAGGGCATGGGAATAGCTAATACCAAGGGCCCCCCCCCCCCCCCCCTAGGAATGGCTATTCCTCTTGCGAAGGTAATAACTCATTCGTAGGCATATTATTCCCATGACAAAATGATTCAACCAAACGATGAAATATGTCTATTCTAAGGAATGTTATTCCATTCCTGACCTATTCCATGAACCAAACATGCCATTAATGTTTATAGATAGGTGATAGAAAGGGAGAGGGCAGAGGGGTAGAGACATTTTGGTCAATTAACTCATTTAAAAAGTAATAGATAAAATCAAATAACTCATTGCCCACAAATAAATCTTTATCAATTTTTCTCAATTTTTTTTTTATTTTCAAAAAAAAAAGTATATATATTTTTAGGATGATTTGATTAATCGACACGGTAAATTTATTACGTAGTATATACCATCAATGTGGCGATGTATCAATATTAATAATTATAGTATTATACTAATGGCATAATTCACCAGCGGCAGTGTGGGAGCTATCTTTCAAAGTGAGGGGGTTCCTTGTGCGCAGTGAGCATGTCTAGCCTCTGTGATTAATGCTCAGTTGAGATACCAGGATTTACATCCTCCCAAATGCTCTGTCGGGTCGAAGTGTGGGAGACCCTTAGGGTTAGGGTTCAACGTTTTGGATGAATATTAATAATTATAGTATTATACTAATGGTATAATTGACCGCCGTAAATTTATTATATACCGTTGCAACTACATGTGTACCCTTTTCTCTTTTTTTTTTTTTCTTTTTTTTTTTCTTTTTAAATAATTTACGAATATAAGATGCCTATTAAAAGCATAAAATTATTACAAAAACATGTGTAAAACTAATTGCAAAAACAAATATTGTGTGAGATATATGTGTGTATGCATTAACAGTACAAAGCTCATTTATTGGTTAATATCCATGCAAGCTATGTACAGCTGAAGCCATAAGCCCATAACCAACCAAAAAGGTCACCATAGCTTCGTCAAAGTACTATAAAGTCCTTGTACTATATTGTTTTGTTCAATTTAGCCCTTGTACCTTTATTCTGTTCAATTTAGTCTCTCTACTTTAAAAAGTGATAAAACTAAGGATAATTGTCCAAATCTCATTACGAACATGGTCGTAATTATTTATTTTGGACATGCTAATTTAATTTATTGGTGGTACAAATAATAACTTTTAAATATTTATAAAGTAATATATGAGTATGAATATAAATATCATCAGCGCCATGTAACCTAAGTTAACGATAATATTAACATCGTTAACTATTGCCTTAATTGCACCACTTTTGAAAGTACAGGGATTAAATTGAACAAAATAAAAGTATAAGGACTAAATTGAACAAAACGCTATAGTACAAGGACCTCGTAAGTACTTTAACCTCATGGCTTCAACTCACCTTTAACTATTCAGCTCAAAGCAGCATTTACATTTACTTCTCTTTATATTAGAATAGCTTCTATTACTGTTAGTTTGTTGCAAGTTAGTTAATCCGTTAGATTAGTTTTGTAACTACCAGCTAGTCTCTTTCTTTGTCTGTTAGGTCCTATAAGCACTGTTCTATTAAGTCTCTGTACAGTTGTTGGTTATCTCATCAATTCGAATACACAAAGCCTCTTCTTTCTTTCTGTTCTCAAACTTCATATTGTGATATGGTATCAGAGCTTTAAGCTGTGTTCATGGCGTGGAATGGTAATAGACCGAATGCGTCGTCAACAGCTGCACCGGTTGCAGCTCCACCGGCAGCTCCATCTATTCCGGCGACGGGCAACTCCAATGTTGCAGGAGTGACCTTCAATCCCAACGATGCCGCCAGTCCATTTTTCTTGCATCTAAACGAAAATCCCTCATTGACTCTCGTCTCTACGCTGTTGGATGGTCGGAATTACCACCCCGAGGCCAGGGCGATGGAAATGTCGCTACTGTCGAAGAATAAATTAGGGTTCGTCTATGGCACAATCTCAATGCCAAATGTGGGAGAAGTCAAATATCCCTACTGGAAAAGGTGCAATAACATGGTAGCGACGTGGATTATGCGATCCGTCTCCCCTGATATCGCTCAGACAGTCCTATGGGTGGGAACGGCGGAAAGGATATGGAACACCTTGAAGGCAAGGTTTAGCGAAGCAGACATCTTCAGGATCTCGGATCTTCATGCTGAAATACCAAACAAGGCAAGGAGACCTAACTGTAAGTGCCTACTTTGCTAAGTTGAAGGTTTTGTGGGATGAACTTCAGGTCATAAGACCTTTACCAGTCTGTAAATGTGAAAGAAGATGTGAATGTGGCTTACTACAAACTCTTGAATAGCAATTAGAAAGTGACAATCTCTCAATCTTCTTGAGGGGACTCAATGACACTTATGCTTCCGTTCAATCACAAATAATGATGACAAAGCCCCTCCCCTCTGTTGATGAAGCCTTTATGATGATCCAACAACAAGAAATAAGGTTCAACAATGTAGGAGGAGGTTTACCAATTCAAGAAACAGGCAGTATCATGTTTACCCAAGGCAATAGCACGAAATATCCCTCCAATAATAACAATAAGAGACCTGTCTGCTCTTATTGTGGATATACTAGGCATACTGCAGAGAAATGCTACAAGAAACATGGCTATCCACTAGGGTGGAAGCCAAGAAATAAGGTTGCTGGTTCTGCTAATCAAATGCAACTCAACTCAGAAGAACAGCCTCTCAGTGGGAACTCTGGTTCTGTTACTTTGAGCCAGGATGAGTATAAGCTACTCAGGCAACTTCTGCACAAAGACAACATAGTTCACAACTTTTCACCCCTAAGTGAAGTTGGAGGGGTGACACCACATGCCAATATGAGTGCTGCTAGCTTTGCTCCGGCATCTGCCTCTCAGGTTGAAGGTACTTATTCTAAACCTTCTCTTAATAGCAGGGCTAGTTGGATACGAGATAGTGGGGCCACACATCATGTTGTGTGTGATCATAGCCTCCTAACAGATGCAAAAAAGGTCCAAGGCATGTTTCTAGAACTACCAAATAGTAATAGAGCTGATATCTCACATATAGGGACCATACACACTGACAGTTTGATCCTATAGAATGTTTTTTGTGTGCCTGCCTTTCATTACAATTTGGTTTCTGTTAGTGAGCTGATTAAAACATCCAAATGCAAGCTACTTTTGTATTTTGATCTTTGCATTATACAGGATCTGGATTATGGGAGGATGATTGGCTTGGCTAGCTTGCAGAGAGGTTTATATCACCTTGTAAAACCTAAGTTTTTTGTTCTAAATAAATTAGAACACATTAGGGCTAATGCCTGTAATACTAGCAACATTTGGCATGCTAGGTTAGGACACTGTTCATATGAGAAATTGAAACAGTTGCCATTGATTGATGTAAATCTGAAAATAAATAAAACAGATGCTTGCAATGTTTGCCATCTAGCCAAACAGAAAAGGTTGTCATTCAATACTAGTTCCAGTGCTTCCAGAGCTTGTTTTGACCTTGTCCACATTGATATCTGGGGACCATATCATGTGCATATTATCTATGGACACAAGTTTTTCCTAACCATTGTGGATGATTTTAGCAGGGCTACATGGGTTTACCTGATGAGAAGTAAAGATGAGGTTAGGACCTTGGTCAAGGATTTCTGTGCTTTGACAGAGACACAATTTGAGAAAAGAATTAAGTGCATAAGGACAGATAATGGGCAAGAATTCAAGATGGACAGTTTCTTCCAAGAAAAGGGGATTGTTCACCAGTCAACTTGCACCTATACCTCACAGCAAAATGGTGTGGTTGAAAGGAAGCATGGACATATCCTGGCAGTTGCAAGAGCTCTAAAATTTCAAGTAGGGTTGTCAGATGGTTTTTGGGGGGACTGTGTTTTACATGCAGTATATGTTATCAACAGGTTGCCATCAACAGCATTGTAGGGTCAGATTCCTCATCAAGTTCTCTTGAACAAAGCCACACAATATTCTCATTTAAGGGTATTTGGGTGCCTAGCTTATGCCATTCTACACAAAGGCCATCAGACAAAATTCTCACCCAGGGCTAGGAAATGCTTATTTCTTGGCTATCCTAATGGGGTAAAAGGGTACAAGTTGTTTGATTTAAATTACAGAGAGGTGTTTATATCAAGGGATGTGGTGTTTTATGAGAGTGTGTTCCCTTACAAAGTAGAAGGACAGCCAAGCAAGCCACAATTACATCAGATGCCCATTTTACCAAGTGACAGCAGCATTATGGAAGATATCACAATACAAAGGAGTGTTGGAAGACCAGTGGGGTCAGACACTATCAATTCTTATGATCCCAGTTCTGAACCCACTCATGATAGCCCCATCATAGAGCAATCTCAGCCTGACCATGTTCCAATTCCAGTGGAACCTAGAAGATCAAGCAGGCAAGTGTCAGTGCCTAGTTACCTTAAGGATTATGACTGCAATCTGCCAATCACAAGGACTTCCCCTCATGCTCTTTCAGCTGTGATGACATACAAAAAGGTATCTTCCAGTTTTAAGGCCTTTGCCACCAACATTCTTAATGTTCAAGAGCCTAAGTCCTACAATGAAGCCATTAATCATGAGTGCTGGAAGGTTGCTATGCAAGCAGAAATAGATGCACTGCAGGCCAACAACACTTGGGAACTGACCACCCTTCCTCAGTCCAAGCAACCAATAGGGTGTAGATGGGTTTACAAAGTGAAGTATAAGGCTGATGGAACAGTGGAAAGGTGCAAGGCCAGACTAGTTGCAAAAGGGCATACCCAAACATGTGGAATAGACTATGTTGACACATTTAGTCCAGTGGCTAAGGTCACTACTATTAGAATTCTACTCACTGTAGCAGCTGCAAAAGATTGGCAGTTACATCAACTTGATGTTAACAATGCCTTTCTCCATGGAGATCTTAAAGAAGATGTTACATGGTCCTCCCCCCAGGGTTCCTTCCCACACAACCAGGGCAAGTGTGCAAGTTAAAGAGGTCACTATATAGTTTAAAACAGGCAAGCAGGCAATGGAATGCTAAGCTAACCACTGAATTGGTCAACATGGGATTCAAGCAAGCCACCTGTGACAATTCTTTATTCACCAGAGGATCAGGTGAAAATTTCCTTGCTCTTCTTGTATATGTTGATGATGTAATTCTGGCTAGTAGTGATGAAAGTCAGATACAGCAAGTGAAGGATCATCTACATTCAGTATTTCAAATTAAAGACCTAGGAAAGCTGAGGTTTTTTCTAGGATTTGAAATTGCTAGAAGTAATAAAGGGATTGTCATGACACAAAGAAAATATGCACTAGATCTTCTACAGGATGCAGGCTTTCTTGAGAGCAAACCTGCAAAGTGCCCTATGGTTCAATCAAACAAACTCTCCAAAACTGATGGTGCAGCTCTGGAAAATAACTCCACGTACAGAAGGTTAATAGGAAAGCTCCTATATTTGACAGTCACAAGGCCTGACATTAGCTTTGCTGTACAACAACTCTCTCAATTTTTGGACAGTCCTACTACCACTCACATGCAAGCAGCACACAGAGTTTTGAGATACATCAAGGGCAACCCTGGACAAGGACTATTTTTTCCTGCAAATTCAGACCTTAAACTCAGTGGCTTTGCTGATTCAGACTGGGCTTCATGTCCTGACACAAGAAAGTCTGTAACTGGATTCTGTATTTTCTTAGGAGGAGCCCTGATATCCTGGAAATCTAAGAAACAAAACACAGTCTCAAGATCTTCATCTGAGGCTGAATATAGAGCCATTGCCCTTGCCTCATGTGAGATATAGTGGCTATCATATCTACTTGAGGTCCTTGGAGTCCACTTAAAGGATGCAGCAGCACTGTTTTCTGATAGCAAGTCTGCTATTGCTATAGCAGAGAACCCTGTGTTTCATGAGAAGACTAAGCATATCGAGATCGATTGTCACCTAATAAGAGAGAAAGTACAGAAGGGAATCATCAGACTCCTTCATGTTTCTACAGAGAATCAGATAGCAGACATCCTTACAAAACCTTTACAACCTATGCTGTTTCAGAAGTTTGTTTCCAAGCTAGGACTCTATTCCATATATAGTCTAGCTTGCGGGGGGATATTAGAATAGCTTCTGTTACTGTTAGTTTGTTGCAAGTTAGTTAATCCGTTAGATTAGTTTTGTAACAACCAGCTAGTCTCTTTCTTTGTCTGTTAGGTCCTATAAGCACTGTTCTATTAAGTCTCTGTACAGTTGTTGGTTATCTCATCAATTCGAATACACAGAGCCTCTTCTTTCTTTCTGTTCTCAAACTTCATATTGTGATACTTTATAACTCTAGCCATATTAACAAAGGTTGAAGGTTGATTGCCTGTCGTCCATAGAAATCCCAACCATATGATCGAATTTCATCCTACGAGTTTTCTTGCTTCATTTTTCTCAATACTGGGTTATCATCATCCAGTATGTCTTCATCATCGTCATCGTCATCAAGTTCATCCAACTCATCTAAGACTGATTGGTTCAGCCTCTTAGAGATTGTCTCCTGTGCTTCTTTGGTTCTAAGCGCGGTTCAGCTTGCATAAGACCTTTGTCTCCTACTTTATACCTGAAACAACAAAACACGAAATACGAAAACAAAAAAGGTAGTAAGAGGCCGGGCCAAGTTTAGAACCCGGTGGCTAGGGGATTGTTGGGCAAAGGCCTGAAGGGCCAAGTCCAGCGTCCAGCTTCTTGAAAATGTATGGCGGTATAACGAAATAAAGTTGCCCCTTTGCTACGAGCTATATCTTTCGGCGTAGTGATAAACGCTTAATCCTAACAAGTTGGTATCAGAGTCAAGTCATAGAGGTCTGAAGGGCCAAGTCCAGCACCCTGTCTCTCGAAAATAAAGTTGTGCCTTCGCTACGAGCTATAGCTTTTGGCGTAGCGGTAAGCATTTGATCTTAACAGGCAACTATCAATTTGTTTTCTTTTAGCTAGATAAGAAACATACCTCACATCACTTTCTCGTTTAATCCCCACTACCCTAAGCTGAAACTCCTCTCTGATTTTGATTTCATCAAGCAACTGAAGGTAGTATGGGTATCTTTCCCAGTCTCCTCCTACAAGGCACCCCGGTTCACCAAGATGTAAGCAGTTGCTGAAAGAACACTTTGCTGCTTCTTTTTCTTTAAGCATTTTTTGGATCTGATGAGAAAATAATGATTCAGCTGTTTGGTTATTTAAAAGGATAAATAAAGGTTAATCCTCGAAAACCAACCTCGGGAAAATGTTCTGCGAGAGATTGCTTTGTCACTTTCATCAAACTAGGATGGCAGAATCCCGGAGTATCTGCGAGATACCCTCCTTCAGATCAGATAGTGGAAGTAAAGAAACGTTCCTAGTGGTATGTTTCCCTCTTCCACTTCTTGAAGACACTTCACCAACACGTTGTTCTTCAAACCATTTGCTATCCAGAATCTGATAAGATGATCCAGGAAACAAGATGTTAGAGGTGAAAAATAACAGTCTAAACGAAATGAAGTCATTATAAGTATTTCAAATAACACTGATGTCTGATAGTACTCTGATCATAAATATTTAAAGACTAATTATCATATTCAAGAAGATGCAAACCTCTTCAGGAACAAGTTCACACTTGTTCAATGCAAGAGTAAAAGGAATTTCGATCCAGTTGACTCAGCCTCAATAAGGAACCTAGTGAGAGAAATTAAAAGGGCTCAAGTTTTGGTTGCTCCATTAAAAACACTAGCAAATGATCCACAGGAGGGTCCAAAATCTCGCACTTCCTCTCAAACACATTTTCTATCATTCCCCGTCTGTCCACCCAATCAATCGAACCTACTAAAACCTTATCCCCAACCAACACTCTCCTCTTCATCTTCTTCAACACCGCCTTCACCGCCTTCACCAGACATGCATAGTAGTTCCACTCCAACTCCCGGAGTATCAGTGAAACCTTCTACCATCTAGTCAAACTTATAAATAGTCATGTCACAATAATACTAGAACCAAATTAGGATGCTATGATAAAAAAGACTAACAGGGCGTTTGGTTGGGAGTAAGGAATTAGGGTGGAAAGGAATTACAATTCGGTGGGAAAAGAATAAGGTGGGAATAAAGTAGGAATTCAAATTACATTGTTTGTATGGGATGAATAGAATTATTGGGTAGGGAATGAAAGAAGTGATATAAAGACTAAAATGTCCTTGTGTAATAATAATAGTAGTAATAATTAAGGGTACTTTTGTCATTTCATTCCTTTTTCCTTTTCCCACAACCACCGAATTGCAATTCATAGGGGGGTGCCCATGAATTGCAATTCAGCAAAAGGAGGGAATTGCAATTCTGTGGAATTGCAATTCCCTCCAACCAAACAACGTAATTGTAGCTTCCACTGAATTGCAATTCAACTACAGCCAAATTACCCCCAACCAAACATGCCATAAAAGTGTAAGAGGCTAAACATTTGAGAGGGTGAGACTTGATCCATGGTCATTCTTTTCAACTTTTACCTCTATGACCAGTTGAGCTGCCCATGCAGACAAAAAATTCTCTAATTTTCATGGAATTAAAATCTAATGCCCCCTTGATATTTCAACTCCATTGATTTTAGGAAGAAAAAAAAATAACTTTGAGACAAAATTACCCCTCTTTTTAAACCTAAATTAAAATTGATGTTATTTGACCTCTCTTTTTAGATTATAGAGTGCCTTCTTTTTCTTCTTCTTCTTCTTCTTCTTCTTCTTCTTCTATTCTCAATATAGAATGGCAACCATTAAACCAACCTCAATCAAATATGTTCTCTCAAAACTCCCTTATCTATTTTATTTCTTTTATTATGCAATTCTAAGTTTATTTATAGCATGTTACATAAATGTTCAAATGCAAAATTTGAATTTGGTCATTTAGAATTTATAATAATAATAATAATAATAATAAAGTATGGCATTTTGGACTTTGTACTACTTATTCCCTTTAAATTCTCATGTATACCAAACATTAGAATTGAAATTACCATTAATTCTATTTCTGCAAACAAAACACTGGAATTTAAATTACCACTTTCTCCCACATTATTTATCTCCCATGGAATTATAATTCTCCCATGAAATTGTAATTCACTTCTCACATAATTTCCTTCCTCCAATCAAACGCTCCATTAGTGTTTATAGATATAGGTGATAGAAAGGGAGAGGGCTTTCGGTCAATTTTCTCATTTAAAAACATAGATAAAATCAAATAACACTAGTACAGAATCAGTCATTTGCGTCCGAGGAAATGTACAATACGAGTCCGAAGTTGCTTGGCCGCATATGTAGGAGACGCAGATTGTATGACCTCGGATGCACATAGTAGACTATATGCGTCCGAAGTTTAAAAATACTATATGCGTCCGAGTTTTATAAACTTCGGATGCATATAGTGTTTATTATTTTTAAAAAATACTATATGTGTCCGAAGTTCCTCGCATATTATAAATTTTTTTATTTTATATTTATTTGATAAAATTTTCACTTTTTATCGGTACAAAATACATTATTCACACTATCATGTACATTCACGGCCACTGCCACTTCAAAGCTTTCAACAAAACTTCAATACATTCAAAGTTCTAAAATCTTCAAAGTTCTCAAGTTACATTCACAACATACATTATTACCAACACTTTACCACTTTAATACATTCACAACAATATCAAAACTTCAAAGTTCTCAACACATACATGTAATAAACTAGCTAAGTACCAACACATCATTCAAATTAGAGAAAAGGTACAAATAGGCCATTGAACTATTTGGGGGATAGCAATTAAGTCATCGAACTCGAATAAGCTCCAAATTGATCCATGAACCTACAAAAAATGTGCAATTAGTATTTTTAGTAGGTTACCAACAAGTTTGTGATGATTAGGATGCCATGTGTACTTTTTATTTATTTATTTATTATTATTATTATTATTATTATTATTATTATTATTATTATTATTATTATTATTATTATTATTATTATTATTATTATTATTATTATTATCCTATTAAGCATTTGACCCAAAAAAAAAAAAAACTAAATTAGTGTAGTTTTTAGTTTAAAAAATTAAAATTATAAGATTTAATTTAAATTATATATATATATATATATATATATATATATATATATATATATATATATATATATATATAAAGCCCAGTAGCATTACGTTATATATATGCATATAAATATTTATTTATTTATTTATATTTATTTAGTTATTTATTTATTTATCTATATTTAATGGAATGACATCAGTGCTAAATAGGGATGGTAATTTGTCTCGTGCCCGACGGAAACAGGGATGGAAAAAATTTTCGGAGAACGAAAATAAGGAGGGGATATCACTCCCAGCTCTGTCCCCGAATAATTACTATAATTAAAAATAAATAAATAAATAAATAAATAAATAATATATATATATATATATATATATATATATATATATATATATATATATATATATATATATATATATATATATATATATATATATATATATATATATATATATATATATGATGAGTGAGAGAATTCACGTAATCAGATTAACTGAACTGAGAAGAACCAATAATACAAGCTAAGGAGATAGAGCTAACGTAATCTACTCCTATAGTCTAGGATAGCTAAGTCAAACTAAATGCTATCCACATACAATATTATGTACAGAAATATAACATTAATTCACACACCCCCTCAAGCACAAGGTTGGAGGGCGACAACATTGAGCTTGTCACGTAAAGTTCCGAAGCGCGCAGCGGGTAAGGGTTTAGTGAAGATAT